GTGCATTTTATTATAGTGCAAATGAACTCTACTTGAGGGTCAGTTAAAAGGGAAAGAATTACCAGCTGTGTTGGACGTTACTGGCCTTGCTATTGCCTCCGATTTGGTTTCACAGAGAAAATCATCGATGGAGGGACTCAGGAGGGGTCGGCTTTCTTGCTGTTCATTCACCAGCTGAGAACAAATAAACACAGGTGTCAAAGGTTTTGTTAAACTGCAGAATCAGAAGAATTAAAATGCAGCCTTGCAACAAAATGAGAATAGCAAAAGCCTACTGAAAAAGAAATCAATCAATAAATAATAGTGTAGGGGCAAGAAAGAAAAAAAAATACCGAAAGATGGGGGATGAGCCTTTTAGCACTGTCAACATATTTTTGATGCAGCCAACTTTCATTTTTAAAGCTGAAGCTTTTTTTCTCCTTGAACAGTTTTAGAAGTATTTTCAAATTTCAATATGTAGAAAATGAATCTATTGAGTCACTGTTCCTAAGGGCCAGTCCCACTCTTCACTTGGACAACAATCACCTACTGAGGCCGGAAACAGTGGCGTTAGACTTTGAGGTGACACATTATGGTTAGTGTTATGTGGAAGGACACACACACAGGTCTATGTGTGGGGATAAAAGCTCTCCTTTCTTCTTGTCTTAAAAAGCTCAAGACACCTGCCGGCACATATCCTTTTTTACATTTCCTTGGAGTGCTTTTGTAGTGCTTAACAAATATTATTTTGAAAGAGTACAAAATATTGTTATATTAAATGGATATCCAGTAGATATGTTTGTGAAAATCTACATGTAAATAGATTTCTGTAAATTCAATTATATTTTCCCATTGGCTTATTTTCTAATTTCAGAAATCTTTCAATTTGATGTTTAGAAGGTCTCTAGTTATTCATGGCAGCCAACTATTTACTTTCAGTTATTCCATACCTCTTGAATCCTGACTTCCTCAAGTTCTGTTTCTATGGTTAAAAGAAAAAATACACTTATGATACACAAGTGGTTCATCCACTGTCTTAGTTTTTCACGAGTTTTTATATTGGCCTTTCTTAAAATGGGCACAGCCATCGAGTTTTCTACTTATAAGAAAAAGATGTGCCTAAAAACCTCCAAATTTTTAAATACTTATTTGCAAGGCTGTATTTTAAGAGACATATAAAATAACAGATGAAATGTTTTGGAGTATTAACATCAAACTATTTTATGCGACTCTACTCACTATAACTTCATTATTTCTTTAACACAGTGTCAGTGGTATTAGAGCCTAGAGCTTATAGAAGATGACAAGAGACCTAAATAATGGTAAATACGGGAAGAAAAAATGCAATGCTGTAATTGTTGAAGGAGGAATATGGAAACATTTAGTGATCATTTGGGGATTGAAAACCACATTTGGTATTTTTGCATGTTCATCCTATTATCTGAACATGGATAAATTGCAGATCTTTGCTGAAGTTTAAGATTTTACATAGAATTGGTAATTTGATTTTCGTACATATTAATTTGTGGATGTTATCGAGGGATAAGCATTGAGAATGCCCATTTTTTTTTAGTATTCACGTTGTCGTGATAGAAATGTCTTCAATTATTGTAAGTTTTAGTGTTACTATGTATAAAGACTCTCAGATTTCTCTGGGAATCAAACTATGCAAGGTTTGTTTTGGTCTTAACCTTTTTTGGGGAGATGCTCCCTTAACCTGTGAGTGAAACTCTGAGTCCCTTTGCATTTTGTTTTCTTAATTAGGATATTCTTGGTTATCACCCATCCTATTTATATTGAAATATTTTTTAATGTTGAGGGACTATGGGCCTTTCATGTTTCTGAGATAAAATATATTTGAATTTTTGTAAATGCCATGTCTATTTGAATTTAGCAGTGAGATTTTCTGGCATAAAAGTCAATTTTATTATCTGCAAATGTAGTTGAAAGCACTGGTATAAAATCTAATATACTAGAAAATAAAGAAATGGTTAAACATCAGTGATTTTGTGAGTTCTTCTGAGTCCATAAAAGTCCCCATATATTTTTTCTGAAAACATGATTAGTTTTTTAGGACTTGGGTTTCATTTATAGTTAGTTCATGTAAAAACTTTGTGTATGAAAGAGTTTCCAAAGGACCGTTACATTAATGTATATTTCTTGGTGGAACTTGCCCTTTTAACTATATGTGCTTAGAGTAATGACCCCATCACTAGAGTGATGTGGTCCTGACTTAGCAGCAACCCTTACCTCTAGGCTGTGTCATTCTTATGTCAATTGAGATGTGGATTCTGCTGCACTACAAATATTCATGGAGGATGAAGGTCACCATCAAATATGGCACCACACTATACTCATAGTGCTATAAACATTCAATTATGGCAGCATGCTATACTCATAGACGTTAGTGTCACAGGCTTTCACTTATTAAGCAGTGCATTCTGATTACTTGGTCTCTGGTTCTAGGTCATCTTTTGGCTAAAGTGCATAAGGTGCAAAGACTAAACACAAACAATATAATTGCAACTTTAAAAGTATATATATATGTATGTGTGATGTCATAACTATCTCTTTGATAACCATTAGGCCTTTGAAGTCTGATTTTATTGATAGATAACTAAGAATAATTTAGTTATTTCTTAGTCATGATTTCTTAGTCAAGATCAATTATTATGTAGAGATAAGTATAAATTACAGTCCATAAAAGTCCCCATATATATTTTTTTCTTTGCTTTGGATACAAGTAAATTCTTTTGTTAAAAAAAAAAAAAGGACTAAAAATTTATCCCTAAACCACAGCTCTATGAATAGCTGTGCGGAATAGGCATAAATTACCTACAGTTTTAGAAGACCAGGGTGTTAGGTCTCTCTACATAGTTTTAGTTGTAAACACTGAAAAGTTAAAGTCTAAATTTGATAAGAGAATTTTAGAAAGTAAGACCCTTGTCCACATAAATATCTAAATGGAAAAATAAAGGAAAGAAAACACACAATTAATTGAGAGGCTTGTCCTTTTCCTGCCTTATCAAACGTAATAGTATTTTTTATTGGAGACTCTCTCCTCTTTCAGACTTCAGATTTATTTTCTGGAGAAAGTACCTCCAGTGTTCTCAGACTTTCCTCAGCAGAGAGGAAAAGCATAGCAAAGAGGAGGTTGTTCAGAGAGATGCTTGGGAGCCAGGAATAAGGCATGGATGGCTTCTCCAGTGTCTCCTAATCCTCTGCCGCATAAGGGCTTTGTCTCCTGCACACCTGCTGTCTTGTTTCCCACCACGCTTCACACCTGGACTGATGGAGTTGTTATGTGTGCCCAATTCCCATAACTGAGTTGCTTCTGTGTCTTTTTTCCACAGACACACATCAAAGAGGACATAAACTCCTTTCTGAGTCAGTGCTTTTCAAGCTGAAGCACAGTTTAGCTGTTGGGAGAAGCTGGGTCTGGAAGGGGGTGGATAGTGGCAGGGCTCAGAGGTGAAGATAAAGGGCTAGATTTCAGATGGCATGGGAAGGTAATTTGGGAACTGAAAGTTTTTTGGTTTTGATTGAAACATGGAAGATGAAACAGGAGATATCATAAAGAAATCTTTTCTATAAGCTCTGAGGTCAGAGGTTACGGCTTACTCATATTTATATCTTTCACAACTTCTAATAGAATCCCTTCATAGAAGAGGGGCTCAATAAACGGCTACCAAATGGGACAGTAACTTTGCAGAAACTGAAGCTATAAAAAGATCTATCTCAAATAGTCCAATTTTGAACTGTGTCTTCAGTTGGATGAATTTAGGAATCATTACTTTAGCTATACTAAGTCCCATTTTATTTTTACTTGTATAGGTAAGAATAGCTTTTCACATGACCCCTTCCTCATTTTCAAACAAGTTTATGATTTTTCTACGGTGACTTAAAAATAAGTAAATCTTTTAGATCATAAAGGAAAAATGCAAACTGAACTAAATCTCCCAAACTGTTCTCCTAAGCTTTACTTCCAAATCGTATGCCATTTACTCTCCTTATTCATTGGTAGGATACTGCTTATTGGCTTTCCTTTAGAATTCCTTCGGTTTGAAAATTCTTTATGAACTTACCTCATTTTATCCTTTGGGTACAGAGTACATTGATGTTATAAAAATAACAAAAGGTGAGTCAAAAAGTTTCCTTTTTTTTTTTTTTTTTAGCTGAGCCATCCTGCCACCTGTTGGCAGCTCAGCAGCAGCTCAGCTCGGGCCGGGCATCAAACCACTGTTGCTCAGAGCTCACACTCTTGAGCGAGCTCTTAACCAACTAAGCCACTCGGCCGTCCCTCCATTTTTTTTTTTTGAATGAATTGGAGTGATTGTAATTTTGGTCCAATTGAATTAGCATAACAGAGTTAAAATAACCCACTTAATTAGTTGCTAAGGCATTTGTCTCACTCTGTTTATATTTAAAAATTTTCATTTCTTATACTCCTTTGTCCCCTTCTCAATATGTAGATCAGTTCGAAGGCCTTTCTGATGGTGATAGATTCTGATTTCTCTTTCAGTATCCCATTTTACTGGCACATTGTCTGGGAACCTTCTTCAGCTCCAGGTAGCAAGTGCCTTCTTACTGTGTCTCCATGCTCCCACGCTTTACCCAATTTTATAACCTGAGTTTTACCTCTTTTCCTCCCACTAAACTATGACCTCTTTGAGAATAGAGACCTTACTCAATTCGTTTTTGTATCTCATAGTAGCAGTTTAATAAATGTTGACTGATTTTATATAGTTTAACTGAATGGTGAATGGTACAAAAGAATGATTGCATGGGCATCCTCAATTTCATACTGGGTTTGATCAAGTCACAGAGAGGCCACGTCCTCAGAAATGATTGCCAATTTTTTTATAGGTTTTAAATGACAAATCTAAGTCCATTCCCCCTTTCCCCTCAGTGTTACATCATTTAAATATGTGGAAAACTGGAGTTACCTAAGGAAACATTTCCTAATGCAAAGCTTCTGTCAAAAAGTCAAGAATGCAGAGTGCATGTCTAATGAGAAAAATTGAAATAAAAGCATAGGTCTGCTCTGCGTCATCCTTGGAAGAAGGACAGGGACCAATGCAAATGGGAGGCCAGTGACACTTCAAGACATAACACTACTGTAACCTCCCTCAGGGATTTTTAAATCAGGTATTCAGGTTGGGAGATTTTGAGGGAAAACCCTTACATGGTCAATG